TAGACATAAATTAGATAAGTTAGATAAATTAGACATATAATAAGAAAATTGTGTGATATAATAAATGGAAAGTGATCAATTGTAATGTGCAATTACACATTAAGTCCGTAGTAATAAGTATTATGGAACATGAAATGTTCTAAACGGGTGTGGATCACTGACCGCAAAATGGATAAAAAGGACGCCTCCACATTTCTGTTCCTGGAAACATGAAACGAAGTTGGCTAAGGCTGAAGACCTTTGCCACTTAGCATCAATAGTTTATTGTATTTTCTACATATTGTATATGACAAATGTAAAGACGCAAAAGAATTCCAATTCAAAACCTCTCTTTCTATAGATTCAGATTAAGATAGATAATAGCTTTTAGAGTCAGCAAGAAAGCTTTGCAAGGAACGTTTCTATTCACATCATTTTGTATTGCCATTTCCTCATGCAGAGCTAGAGTTTTGTGGGAATTCAGCTCAGGCTTCAGAGACGTGCTCGTGTGCTGTGTGCCATTGAGGGGAACATTCAAGGTGTCTCCTCTTATTGGGTTTGAGGAAATATGAAATCTTATTACAGCATCAGGAACAGCTCGAAGGTAAGGCGCCTTCGACACACTAAGCTGATTTGCATGAAAAGCAGCCGGCGCCATCCCCACACACACCTTGTTGCTGAGAATTTGTGGGAGCTCACCTCTAAATGCCTCTTTGTGCCTGTAAAGATCAATTACTTACATACTGTATGGCCTGTCTTTACACAGTAGCGCACACATCCCTTACTGCATAAACAGAATGCTAATGAATACAGATAGCAAAATTAAACGAATGGGACCTCCTTTGGTTCTGTCAACAGTTTTTTTTTCTCTTGTCAGGTGGGACTGCGGTAATCTTTTAGCATTTGTTACACTCCCCACCTGTAAAGATAATCTGGATAGTTTTGACCAGTAGAGAACATACACAAACAGGGAATACACTCTTACGCCTCCTTGTTCTGTTTGGCTCTGAAAACCAAGGGAGAGCTGATGCCCCCCTCTCTACTTTGCCAGTCAGAGAACTCAATAGATTCCATAGTAGAAAGCACAACCTACCCTTGGTGTCATCACTTTACATTCCGCTCGTCCACGTATCTTATTGTTATCCTTGATGTTAACCGTAATGCTGTCTGTGTTGTTGGTCGCCTTGGACACAAGTGTCTGATAAATCCATAAAAATAATAAGTGCAGTCCAAGACCAGACAGTTTGACCCATTCTGTTCTGCAGAGGGGATTTCTTACAAAAGGAGATTATAATAACTAAATATAGCTATTTAATCCTGTTTTTTTTTCCTATAAATTAACTGCTAAAGAATGTCTGTTTGTTCTGTATACATGCAAATCTGTCTTGGTCTATTTCAGCTAAACGGGGTTAAAAACAGTCAAATAACTTTGTCTTTTGCAGTCTTGACTTTAAATACTGTTAACATTTTATAAGAAAATCGAAAGCCGTGTTCTTTTTCTGGCCTTATTAACTTACAGAATGGTAATGCATCAATTTCATGGATGGAGTCACCGGTGTCTCTATTGGATAACTTTCATGTTGTGGTGGAAAGTGTCGGAAATGCGACGACTGCGAGAGAGATTTTGGTTGGTTTAACATCTTTTTTTTGTAGATGTGTGACAACAAATCAAATGAACTGTTAGGATAACGATTTGCTTTCCATTGCAATCATCATCCAACAAATATCTCGATGAGTTTATGCATCATAAAGAGTCTTTGTGTTATTTTTTTGTGTGTGGATTATTAGAGTAAATTTGCAGTTGCTTTTATACAGCAGGACAATTTCCCAAATAACAGACGCATCGAGGCTCCCTTTATCTGATCTGGTTTCCACCACAGGAATCAACAGCTAAGCAATTGTCTGAGCATTTTTTTTCTTCTTCCCAATTCAAATGATCAAGAGGGAGTACTTTTGAGATTGCCTAGCATTCTTGGGGGGGCAGCTTGTTGAGCTAAATCCTTTCCCCTGTAGCATTTAAGCCACTCGTCGTGTAACAAAAGCGGTATTCTGCTGGGAAACCTACATCCTAGCACTCGCACGGATGCTGTTAACACAGTTTGTTGGTCGCTCAGTGCAGTGAATGCCGTAGAAGAGCGGCTGTTGCCAAGAATTTTCTTTCATCCGACGCTATTAGCACATAAAATGGTGCAGATTCTGCCGGAAATAGACAATGGACTAGCGGGGGGGAAAAAACAATGATTCTCTCTGAGATTTCTGTCCAGTATTCATGTATTTATTGTTCAGGGTGAGTATATGCTCAGAAAATGCTAAAAGGAGCCACTGACTCTTTTTGTCTGACTCATGCTATTACACAAGGAGGTAGTTCTGTATTAGTGGGTACAGCAATATGGGGTAATTCCCTTGGCCCTGGAATAACACCGTATGATAAGATTACCTAAAAAAAAGTGTTGGTTTTTGGGAGGGACTTTGTCACAAAAGGGATATCATCCTCCAGAAGAAGCATGTGCATATTTACACACACGGCGGTCCCAAAGCAGATTGAAGATCATCGCAGCATTAAGAAACATTGTTGATCCCCACCCTGAGAGGATGCTAACACAACTAAACATCTGTGGTGCGTGCACGAGCAACAAGTGAGCAACTGCTTCCACCCGCCATGTTTTCAGAGGGAAACAAATTGGCTGTGCTCGATGAATGAATTTGACTTGGCTTGAAGTTCAAAATTCAGCGTTTGGTCCTTTTGTCCTTTGTGGTGTCTGTTTGACTTTTTTTCCAATGAAATGAAAGCAATTTTGTGTAACCATTTTTGTTGCTTCTTTCACCTGTAAACCCTGCATAGTTTTTCTTGCCCCACCGCAGTGCGGGCCTCCACTCAATCAGATCCTCGCCATGTTTCCCCATGGTCCCTTTCAGCCAATAAACCACAGCACTTGTAATCATCGCTCATCACTTTTAGTGTCAACATGCAGCAATTTAGTATTGAGCTGTGGATATAAAATTCCATTTTCTATTAGCTCACAGTCGAGCCATGAGGGAAAGGCTATGCCTATGATATCGCGAGCAATGACTGTGAATATCTCATGACTTTTTTGTACCAGGCCAGAGAAGATGGATGGGACTGTTTACTCATCTGAGACTCAGATTATAAATGTTTTAGTCGTGCGGAGATTTGGGACCGTTATGGTACAAATCATCCATCCATCCATCCATTTTCTATACCGCTTATTCCCAGTGCAAATAATGTTTGACCTTAGAAAAAAGACAGTTATCTCATTTAACAAGGAAATGTGCGTAATTTTCCTCCCTTGGAGATACAATGTAGTTGAAACTGAAAGGGCAGATAATATAGATTTTTTTTTTCTTCAAAAAGTGATATTCGGATCTGTTTTTCCACGAATCATACAGAACTTACTGTAGGTGTGTGGCAAAGTGATTAATCTGTATAAATATGTGTTTATTTTGACTGTATTACAATGACTTGGATTCTGATTGGCTTGAATTTTTTATTGTTCCAGTGTTTAAATTCAATGGCAGGCACTTTACTACATTGTTCTCCCAATTTTATTTTTCCCTTTATTTGTATTTACTAAATGGGTCTGTTTTCCCTCAATCCAACCTTAACCCTTTCCTGATTACAGTCGAAATGATGTATTTACGCTAAACAACAAAGGCATTTCGTTATACTTTCCTCTTATTAATACCATACTCACCAAACCGAGGGCTATCTGAAAACCGCCTTATTCCCGAGCTTAAACAGACTGCTGTAACCAGATTTTCTGCATATGGTTATTAAAGTGATCAGATTTGATAAGCTCACTGGGTTTAAGCAGGTCAGCAGTACAACCCAGTGGCACATGACAGCGTGGTGGTAAATCTTGAGTGGTGATGCTTATAACTGCAGCCGAAAATATCTTGGTTTCCTCATTCTGACATTTTTCCCCTGTACATCTGGCTCTGTTCGCTCCATGCTGTAAATTATGCCTCGGATATGTTACTTAATGTCCTCTAATGTGTTCTGTGCAGCTTTTGCCTGTAATTTAGCATCCACAGGAGAGCCGCTATCATGCTGTCGGCGTAGCCGCTAAACAGATTTAATTGTCAGTCCGTCAAAGGAGCGTTGTTGTGTCTGAGACGCTTGTTTAATTTAATGTCCTCAGCCCACAATGTCGGCTCGAGAAAGCTCAGATGCTGAGAATTTTAAAGCGACCGTTCACAGAGTAGCATTACTCACTGAGTGACATTGTGCATCCCAGTTGATGTATGTGGCAGCCGTCACAGAATCATCCAAAAAGTGTTATTCTTCCTTTTTGGGAGGTCTGCTGAGAAGATAGAGTATTTACCGAGGTCTCTGTCTAACTGGACAAGTGTGGTTGTGACAGAAAAATGACATTTTATTAAACACTGCCCTGCAAAAATGGGCAGCAAATTTAGAATTTATGATCAAATAACATGAATATATCTACAAACTTGAGTGTTTCAAGAGAAAAGGGGAACTTTTCTTTTTTTTTCTTCTTATGATTAAGATGTAATGATCCCTGATTTCTTTTGATGAATGGTAACTATTTTGTAGTCGAATTTTTGCAAATTATTCTGCTATTGCGCAAACTACAACTGGTAGAAATAAGCAGAACCTAAGGGACAAGTGAGCAGCAGAAACAAGCTTGATTGAGACAGATTGTACTTAATTTTTTGGTTTTTGTCTTTATCCTCCTGCAAGTCGAACTATTAGAAAGTGTTGAACATTTTTGTCACTTAAAAAAAAAAATGTTTCCCTTCTGCTTTGTTCTTCTTCGAACTCCATTTGCTAGGTTTAATGCAAATCTAAGCTGATTATCACACCAGTTCTCTGTTCATGAGCAGCCTGAATGTTGTGTTGTGTTTTGGAACTCTTGCTCCTTTTTTTAACCCACTTCCTCCTTCTCTCATCTCTCTTTCAGTGCCATGAATCAGCCTGGACAACAGCTGCTTCCCACCTAGAGGTCCATTTACCTCTCTTTAACTCCACCGCCAACCAGAGGATGCTGGGAATGTGTCGCGGGCGCAGGAAGTTCCTGGCGGCGTCCGTCGCCTTGCTTTTCATCCCGGCGCTCACCTGGCTCTACCTGTCCGTTGGGAGTTTCCAAGGTAAACACGTCGGCTTTTTTTTTTTTTTTTTAAGTGGCAGCTGACAAATTTGCTCACCGGGGATGTGTGGCCCAGCAAAGCAGACCGATGTTTTGTGCCATCTATGTGCAAAACTCTTAACACAAAAAGAAAATCGATTCATTACACGGAGCACAATGAGATTAACTCATTACTTTGAATAAAGGAAGAAAACACCATAAAAGAGACAACAGTGACTAGAACCTGCCAATAGGCCATAAGCGGGTTATTGATTTTAGTCTAGTAATAAGAACACAAATTTCTTAGTTAATAGTTATAGATAATTCTAATGTTCTGTTGATCATATTTGATATATCAACAATTTTAGTTTAACCCTATAATGCCAAATGTATCATATTTGATACGTACGGTTTCTGAAATGTTTTGCGTCTGACACCTTTTGCATAATTTATTGGTAAAAACTTTGCTCAAAATCCTACTGTAAACAATCAGATATACCTGATAACAGGGGGCAGAAAACTACACAAAAAATAATCTTGACTTATCGCATAGTAATAAATTATTAATATTAAAAATGTATTTCTGTTTTTTCTTTTTACATATTTTGTTAAAAGGCCAATAAGGAATTCAAACAAAAATAAAGTAGTTTTCTGTTTTGTTTTATTCTTGGATCAGTCTTTAAAGGGTTAAAGCCAATATTTTTACGAAAAAAAATAAAGGTTCTGAAGAACAGAACAGCCATATTCTTTGGTTCGAATCTTAGGCTTGGTAGTCATGGTCATTGGTGGTCTATGCCTGAAATAAATACTTGGCTGTTTTTCAAAAACTTTCTATCAAAGTATGCCATTTGATGGTCCATACTTATATTTAAACCCTTCTTAAATGCTTGGGCAGCAGCCAGGCGCTGGGATGAACCTTAAGCCACAGCTGTCTTTCCAATTTTAGTGTATTTACGACAGATCATATCCTCTGTTTCCAGACTCAACTTCTTAATCTAAGTTTTCATTTATTTTTAAGTAACGTAAACGTGGCCTTAAAAGAAAAATCCATGACCTTAGTGTTAGTAGATCACTGACTGAATTACACCCATTCATTCATTGTGTCTAATCTATTATAAGATGGAAAACATCTGCACATCTCCACATGTGCTCCAGCAAATAATTTGCAAACACTGTGTAAACGTGAGATATCTAGTGAAAATGATTAATATGGTTCTTTAAAAATGATAAGATCACAATTATTTCAATTCATCACTATTATACGGTGGAGTCGGCTCCAGTTCCCCCTTGACCCCGGTGGGAGTAAGCGGTATAGATAATGGATGAATGAACCATCATACACAACACAGTGTTCCTACCGCTTTGGGAGCTGAATAAGAAAACAGAGTGACTGAACATGGATTTATTTTGTGAATATCTAACGTTTTGTTTTTGCCCCTCTTGGCTGTTTCTAAGCTGTTTAAAATATTTAAGCTGTTTGGCTTTGATTTGAAAAGAACACTTTTCTACCAACCATTTAATGAATCATTATTTTTTACATGTATACTAAGTCTTTTTTTGCTTCGTAACAGTCAAATTTCCCCCATACTTTTCCCAGGTATGGACAACACATGTGAATAAAACAATTATTGAATCTTAAGACCTATTGTTTTAACTGTTGTAAGGAAGACTGCATCAATTTGCCTAATAACCACCCTCCACCACACTGTAAATCCTTAATTTGTTCTATATCCTAGAATAAAAGGGAGAAATCTGACCACTTGGAGAGTGTCCAGTCTGTCCGGTAATATGATTACCCTAGTAGAGTATGTTAATACTAATCAGCACTATTGGAAGATATCTTCTCATCTTTTGAACAGTTTTTTTCATTAAATACTTCAGATTCTGTCCAATTTTATTAAATTTAGAATTAGACTTATTTTTTTTACTGTTTCTCATTCCAGGGAAACTATTTACTGTGTTTAGTCGAGTCTAAAATGTCCATTTGACTTATCATATTTTGTGTGAATATTTTGTTTTCTGACCTGTTCCGAAAATGTTCAAACCGTCCATCTAAAGCAAACTTCCACACTCCATTCACGTTACTATGTGGAGACAAAAGCTGTTGATTGGAAAAAGTATAAAAATCAAGCTTGTTCCAGAAAGTTTGCTGGAACAAATTTCCCGATGACAAAGTCACCCCCTCCTCTCCGTCTTTCTTACAATGATGGCGTATTAATGACTTGCTGAGGCCTGTCCAAAGTCGATTACTTCCCTAAGACAATATAGTCCAGGAGTTCACGGAGCCGTTTTAATGAGTTTAGCTGTTAGGATTGAAAAGCCGCAGCGGTGCCATTATTAATTATGATTAAACTGGCAATTTTGACTGGGCGCGGGTCAGAGTCGGTGCGGTCCGCGCGTATGAATACACTCCCCTGACGTAACGCTCGCCGAGGTCTGGAGTTCAATTATTGAATTTGACGTCAAATCCATGCCTCGCAGGCCGCGGTTAGTGCAAGCGTGATAAGTTGTGAAAGGACCTGGCTGCAGGGAGCGTGGGCTGTAGGTGAGGTCTGAATGCGAGAGACAGGAACAATGTGCTGGCGCTGCCTCTGCCTCTCCCCCCCGTGCTGCTTCTCAACGGGACTCGGATCGGTTCGATTCATTTCACAAGGCTGCACTTGGAAGCAGGGCTGCCATACATCCAAGAAAAAACACAGAGGAAAAAGAAAAAACGAATAAAACAAAATAAGAGATCGATGGGACTTTAAGTGTAAAAATGCATTCCACATACAGTATATCTGTGTGGAGGGAGCTATAGCTAAAACTAAGACCTATTTTCTAACTTCTGGAGGTCATAAAAGTGTTTTATTTTATACTTTATCTTTAGTGAGGCTGCTCACTAAAGTTTTCGAATAAAATAATTGGTTGTAATTATCAAAATGTGTCAATTTCATGTAAGAATGGTCAGATGATCATGCCTCTTTAGCTCTTTCCTGCACCTCTGGCAGGAGATTTCTGGCTCTAGGATGTAAGATAGATACCTTTCTTCATATGTAGCTGTTATATTTTGTACATACATATTTGAATTGGTCCACCAATAATACACAGAATAATGACTACATGACATAACTTTCATAGATGGGAAGGAAGGACAAGTTGGAAGATGTAAGAACAGTTTTTTTTTCTTTTTTTACTATGCTCAGTTATAGTTTGACACACATATTAGTCTTATTCTTATTTCACACACATGTAAAGTGGGGAAATTGAAGAATTTGTGTAAATTTAGGCTGTGCAAATCCCCACCGGCAACAATTTGTGTGTGACACCATCCGCTGTTCGATCTCACAATTCCCGTCTCAGCATCTTCTTCTCTCTTATCTTCTTTTGTTTTGAGTGGCTCTTATAAAAACGAATTACTGTAAAAGCGGAGGGTCAGTGAAAGCTTTAAAAAGATTTATTCTGTTGTTCCCCGGAATATAAAAATTGTTTCGAAAACTGAAAAAAACCCAAATAGAACGATGGCCAATGACTGTCACCGGGACACAAATGTCATTACGTCAAATAAAGGATCACCTTGGTTTGGCTCGGAGTTGTGTGCCGACCACAAGGCTTCACAGAAACCTTGAGTTGTCGATGCATTATCTGATTTACACGAGCAAAAGCGATAGCTGACAACACCCACTCTCTGTGACATAACTGAGAATACAGTTACATACAGTTAGTTTAAATGGCACGGTTAAAACACACACAGACAAACCTCCTAAAAGATGACTGAACATTAACGGCATTCCCAGGTGATTGTAAAGTTACAATCAACCAGGAATGCTGTTAATGTTCAGTCATTTTTGTCAGATCCTGACTCCTGTCTGACCAGGTTTTGATTTGTTTTTGTGTTTTTTTTTTGTGTTTTTTTTTGTTTTTTTTTGTTTTTAAACCCTGTAATGCCAAACGTATCATATTTGATAAATAAGGTTTCTGAAATGTTTTGCGTCTGACACCTTTTGCATAATTTAATGGTAAAAACTTTGCTCAAAATCCTATTGTACACAATCAGATACACCTGATAACAGGGGGTAGAAGACTACACAAAAAATAATCTTGAGTTATCGTATAGTAATAAATTATTAACTCATTGACTGCCAGCCATTTTCAGAACAGAGTCCCATACTGCCAGTTTTTTTAGCATTTTGACTGATTTTTCAAGAGCCACAGAATAGTTTGTGCTATGACTATGTAAACACCGAACACACCAAAAGAAAGAGTAGACTCTTTTCTTTCATCAGAAAAATTTTTTTGTTTCTACCTTATTCCGTTCTTCCCCCCGACTTGCGTCTCACCGGCGACATGTTCTCTCATAGCGAACCGTTACGTTTTTTTTATTTGCCTACAGTCTATGCTAATCTTCCATCAAAAGTGGCACTGCCATCTAGAGGGTCAATTTGTTAGTACATACTCTGTCTAGAAGCCTGATATTTACGGAAAAGCTTTAGCAGATCGTCCCCCAAGCCACTCTCGTTGAAAAACATAAAAGACGTCTATAGACGTCTTTGGCAGCCAATGAGTTAAGAGCATGGACCACCTGCCACTCACCAAATGACACATTAAAAAAAGACACAGCTAATGCTATTCAGCGACCACCGCTTTGTCACCAGTGAAAGAACAATCCCACCAACCAAACAACTCAAAGGCAAACACTGTCTCTTGATTTCGGCCGTACGAAAGCTGAAGCACAGTGTTTTTTTGTTTTTTGTTCAACAGCTCCCAGGCTCTTATAATGAACTACAAGCGTAACTCTGCTCGCACAATTTCCAAGTACCATTTCCTTTCCCAGGGCAGAAGGCAGAGAGCTGTTCCTGTTTCGGGTGCAGAGATCTCTCTTTGGTGGTTTTACGGGTCATTGCAAGCTGACAAGACGGGAAGGATTGGATTCCTCTCCTTATGCATCATAAGTGTTAACGTGTTACTCGCTGTCTGATGTAAAGAAATTTGTGGCAGGAATTCGTGGAGAATGTGAATCGTGAGCATCGTGTTTCACCCCCA